GGCCAGAAGGCACCTACAAACACCTGAGTCATGTCTCACCCTTCCTTTCTCTCTCAATAGCTTCCCAAGGCTGACTTCCCAGCCCCACAGGCCAGCACAATCCTCATCACCTCCTCCCTCACCCCTCCCTCACCTTGATGCTCTTGCCTCTTGTTTCCTGTCTAGAATACCTTCTCAACATTCCATCCCATCCCTGTGACTCCTCCCTCTTCTTCTCAAAGAGACCTTCAAAGACCTCCCCTAACTAAGAATTGTAGGGCTGGTTATACAGTTGTGACAGAGTGCTTGTCTAGCATGAATGAAGCCTTAGGTCACACTCCCAGCACCCTAACAATAAAACAAAACTGCAGCCGCCACCATGGTCTCCATCTTCTGTTCTTCTTTAAAAATCTTTTTATTTATTCTTTTTATTTAATTTTATGTGTTTGTGTATATTGCCTGCATGTATGTAAGTGCATCCATGCCATGAAATGCCTGCAGAGGTCAGAAGAAGGAGTCAGATCCCCCAGAACTGGAGTTACAGACAGTTGTTAGCTGCCATGTAGGTCCTCTGCAAGAGCAGCCAGCGCTCCTGACCACTGAGTCATCTCTCCAGCCCCGTCCACCTTCTGTGCTTAGTGTTCTTCAGTGGTCTTGTATTCTGACATCCTATATCTTATTTGTCTGACCTCGTATTTGTTCTGCATATGAGGATGTCGGCCCCAGACACAGTAGAAGCTCAATAAATATATACTGACTAAACGGCCCTCACCCCCCTCCAGACCCCCCCATTACCAGTTCTGGAATTGCTATTTTGCTGTTAGAGATTTCATTGTGCACATTAAGCTGGCCTTGAGCTAATTTTTTTGCACTTATGTATTTATGTATGTATGCACTTATTTATTTATTTTGGTACACACACTGTGCCACACTGTGAGGTCAGAGAACAACTTATAGGAGTTGATGTTCTCCTTCTACTATGTGGGTCTGGAGGATCAAACTCAGCTCATTGAACTTGACAGTAAGCACCCTTATCCTCTGAGTCATCTCACTGACCCCTTGGCCTCTTGATCCTCCTGCCTCAGCCTCCTGAATGCTGGAATTAATGTTATGCCCACAAAGCCCAGAATTCTGTGAGCATTTGATTGTGTACTGAGTGTGGCACTGGATGGAGTGCAGAAATTGCTCAAGGGAGTGGGTACTGGGAGGCCCAGGGAGAAAAGGGGCAGACAGAACTCCAGTTACCATCCCTCAAGACTGGACAGGACCACCTATTCTTGCAGATGCAGCTCAGGCAAGGGGGCACTAGACCTGAGGCAAAAGGATGCTGAGCCTGGGGGCAGCAGAGCCATGTCTGAGATCTGGGGTATCACATACCTCCTGAGGGCCCAAGGGCCGAGCAGAAGGCCCCTGCCATGCCCAAGACTGGGATAGCCAAAGTGCTAGGCATGGATTCCAAAGATGCAGGGGGAGGGGAACAGGGGGTAGCTTAAGGGCAAGGCACCCTGGACAAAGGCATCCTGCTCAGAAGCTGGGAGGTGTCTAGACTTGGGGGTACACTAGCAAGCACAAGCATGGGGTCCCGTGGGACCAGATACACTGAATGTGGGGTGTCAGAGGAACGAGGGCCACCGGCATACTGCGTAGAAGTCCTGAAGTGCAAGGTAGGATGCCAGAAACAAGGTGCGCCCTAGGAAGAGGATGTCAGAGGTGCAGATACCCACCAAGTAGTGGGGGACCTGGGTTCTCCAAACTGGCTACCATCTCGGCCTCTACTGCAATTGTGCAGCCAGAGAGTTAGGGTAGTTGAGGGGAAACTCTGTTCTCCTAGTCTCTACATCCTTTGCCTCATGAGCACTCTGCCTGAGACCCCAGAGATACAGATAGACCCAAGGCTAGGAAACCAATCCAGATGCTGACCACCAGCATTGGGAGAAAGACAGGGTCTGGAAAGCCAGTTAGCATTGGGGAAGGGGATAGAAGGGTCCTGCCAGGATTTTTCCAAATTGAGTGTTAGGCATCCTTTTAAAAATGCCACTGCTGGGCTGGGGAAGCAGAGACAGGCAAATCTGTTGGATCTGTTTCAAGGCCAGGACTACATAGCCAGTTCCAGGTCAGCTGGTGCTACTGAGAGACAGTGTTTCAAAAAGATTCCCCACCCCCAAATGTCAGGCTTCTCCTTTGAACCATCTCCTAGAATGGTTTTGCAGTGGAGATGGGTAGGCTGCTGGGAAGAAGGGAGGCTTGCAGTCAAAGGACTCTAGAGGTCCATGAATTCCAGGTCCTGTCCCCTTTTCAATTTTTCCTCACTTGGTGCTGGAGGCAGAATCCAGGCCCTCACACATGCTGGGCAACCACTGTTCAGCCACTGAACTACACCCAAGCCTCAATGCCGTCCCCCCAAATGGGGACAGTGCAAAACCTTCCAGAGGTCCGTTGATGTCAAAGTGGGAAAGTGAGGGATACAGAGATGGGATCCTTTCCTTCCCCTATACCCAACAGAGCCAGTCAGCCACAGGCAGACTATACTCCTTGATGTACCTCTGGTCCTCTGGATTCAGCTCCTAGCACCTGGTCATTTAGGTTCATGGCTGGAGCTCTTCAGAAACTGGTCGTCCATGCAGGGGGATGCAGCATTTCGTACTAGACTCTGTCCTAAAGTTTGGAGACCATAGGTTCTAGATTTTGAGAAACCAAGAATTCCCAGTCATGGAAGAACGTTCTGTTTTAAAGAATGTAGGGACAGGGAATCAGAGGTGGCTGCTGATCACCAGATTGGTCTTCCCCCAGATTGCCCACCACCACATACTACTTGGAAGGGATTTTCCGGGAAAAGGTTAAAGGCCCTACACATATGCATTCAGGCTTTTGTAGGTACTCTTTGTTCCCATTCAAAACCCATCCAAGTTGTGTGTAATGACCATTTCAATCCCTTCCTACCCTCAAACTCTTTCATATCTTATTCATTCAGCAGACAGCCTAGTCAATGATGCATTCCTATCCATGGACACAGAGGACTTTAGCCCCCGCCTCATATCTCTAAAATCCACATCAGGATTTATCTATCCTCCTAAGGCTTCCAGAGTTAAAATTCAGACAGACTTTGAACTTTAGGTATTCTGACTGCTTCTGGATTTAGGCCCCATTTGGGTGGATTCCCTTCCCCAAGGATCCAGGCCCGGGTTTCGTTCCTTCCCGGCCATCTATCTTAAGAGTTGCACCCATCTTTCATAAAATGGATTCGCAGCGCTAAGGCTTCCGAGCCCTGCTCTTACCTCTCAGGACTTTCCTCCCTCCTTTTCCCCCACCCCCACCTTGCACTGAGTTGTCTATTCTGCTGAAGTGCCGATTTTTGGCACGGGGCCCGGTCTTATAGCCCCCCCCACTGTGGGTCTTGGCAAGCATAGCTCTGGCTCCAGGGATCCAAGCCAAGTCGACAGCCTTCCCCCACCCCGACAGGGGAACCGAGGCTCCTCTGCAGGCCCAGCCTGAACCCAGGCCGTCGCCTCACTCACTCGGCCAGATGCCTAGGTATCCAAGCCCAGTCCCCTGCCCTACTTCTTCAGTCCATGGCTGCAGCGCAGTTCTTACGTTTAGGAAATTCCTGTCGGGTTTTTGCTCCTGCCAGAAACGTAAAATTCAAATTTTCTCTTCTCTATCCATCCCTCCAAAGCCAGACGTTTGAGGCGTTTATAGGTACTAACCTGCCTCTAACAGTCCCCTCCGCCCGCGCTGCCCCACCAGCTCCAAGCCCCTGTCCAGTAGCGGAGCATCTTCTGCCCGCGTCTCATCCCATCCCGCGCTCAATTCCAGCCCTGGCTTTGCGTGCCTCCCTTGCCTTTTACTGTCGGTCTGGTCTCCCAGGGAAGCAGGCTCCACACTGTATTCCCTTCCTTTCGCTTCGCCCCTAGATCCAGAAACCGCGTTTACCAGCCCGCTACGGTGCAGCCCGCGCGCCGGATCCCTCCTCACCAGAGTCCAGCCCTCCTTTTGCCCCTCCCCCTGGCACGTCGCTGCCAAGAAGATGGGGGGCTGCCAACGCTGCTTCAATAGCTAGGCAGCCCCCTCCCCACCCTCTTGCAAGCCCAGGTCGGAGAAGCTCTAGTCCAGGTCTTACTTGTTGCCACTGTACAGACCTGACGCATTACTTCGTCTCCCGAGGAAGACTCCGGCCCGAAATTTGCGTGCCCCGGGTGCTTTTGGCCTGGTCGCAGCTCCCTCCCCCGCCGCGGTCCCACCCCGCTCAGTCTAATCCGAGCCGGGTTTTGCGCAACCTTCCCACACCTCGCCATTCACTCCTCGGCTCCGCTCCTTTCCTGCCCTAGTTGCGAGGGAACCCGCTCCGGGTCTTCCTGTCTCCCGTCTCCCCCTCCCTCCTCTCCGTTCCAACTCGGAATCTAGCTCGTTGACTCCCCTCTGCCCACTTTTCCGGGGGGGCGGGAGGCGAGTGGAACTCTAGTCCGCGTTTCCGCGCGGGCCCCGGAGGCCGGTCCCGGGCGGTTGATCCAGGCCGGGTTTTGCGCGCGCCCGCCGCCCCCCTCCCGGAGTCACTGGCCGGGGAGCTGGGAGAGCAGGCGGCTTGTCATTGCTGGTGCCCGGCGCCGGCTCGCTCCGCGCGTCCTGCGGTGCCTACGGGCCCGGCCCGGCGCCCCCCGCTCCGGCC